CTTCGGCTGTCAAAGCCGTGTGACCTCATTCCAAGAAATCATGGAGCCTGTTGTGTGCGTGCACGCGCGAGAGCGGCCATCACGAGTCACAGAATGGAGCGTGGATTTATCTTTTGCGCGTTACCGCGTACGACGCCAAACAGAACAACAGGCGGGCAAATCCACGACGTTTACAATCCGAGTACGACGCTTCGCCAGTAACTATGTCGTACTCAAGATTGTAAACGTTGTGGATTTGCTCTCCAACACGCGGTGGGCTGTACTCGTAACGAATTGGCACGTTCTGTTGACGTGACAAACCTTACTATTGGCCGTGTTGGGTGGTGGCGGGTTTAATGACACATTTATATATTTACGTGATCTAACCAAAAAAGAGTCTATATTATGGATGATATTGGTCTCAAAAGCCTACATGTTAACAGAACAGGAATTTAAACGCTGCTGAAAGTGATATAATTACCGTGGAAATGCTGCAACCAAGCGTTTACACATCACTCTCAGTCAAACATTCCACCATCACCCACACAGGCCTGAGTGATTAACCGCAGCGCACACACACGCACGCACACGCGCAAAATAAAATATATTTTAAAAAACTGGGATGAATTATTGTTCCTTGCATGTCTTTTTTTTACGTCACCAACCTCGCGCACGCAAGCGTCGTGCGCTCACGTGAAACCGCACTGGAACGAGTTGGCATTGTCAGACACGAGGATGCGCGTGTGTGTGTGTGCGTGTGTGGGGAGTGGCGGTGCAACGGTTAGCACGCTGCGCTACGAACCCGATAAAGCAGAGTTCGATTCCTGCTCACGGACAACACCGGTGACAATTGTTTGGATCGGTCTTGGGTGTGCCCCGAGATCGACTCAGCCTCAAATGAGTACCTCGTGCGGTGTGTAGTAAACATCGCCACTGGGGAGACAAAGGCGGCCGGGGGTGGTGCTGGCCACCCCACCCCGTCGTGTGCCACAGCGCCGGCCTTCGTAGGTGCTGCTCGCTGACGACACTTGCCCCCAACAGTCTGTGAACTGTGAAGGCTACCGGGAAGATCTTTGTCTTTGTTCGATGGACTAGGCCGGGCACATGTGAGCGTCAGTCTGCTCCGAGCAAGTGCAGGGTGCCCTAATCCCATCCATGCAGCAGCCCCTTAACGTCAACGCGGCGGCATAATCACCGTAATCTCCGTCGGTGCCAGCGTGCGCTCAATTGCTTGTTTTAAATTCACTACAATTAGGGGGTCGGGGTTTTTTGGGAGGTTTTTGTTGTTGTTCTTGTTGTTGTTATTGGGGCCGTTTGAAGGGTTTGAGAGAAATAAAAAAAAAATCCTATAATTATTTCGCTGTTTATTTATTTACCTCCCGATACCTCCAACCCAAATTGCTCGAAAACTTGCGAGAGAGAGGAACGTTCCGGTAAGACAAAGATTCAATATGCGGGAATTCCGTTGAACGAGGGGGTGGGGCGAGTTTGATCGTTAATTGGCTGAAGAGCTACGGGGTGCAAATTGGCATATGGCTCACAAACACACAGCACAGTAGGTAAGCGTGTTCAACAAATTATTCGGTGATCTTGCTGCTGCTGCTGCGTTGGCAGCGGCGCACAAGCAACAAAGCAACTCAAGACGTTCATCAGTAACGCTGCAGCCTTCAAAAGGAATAAATAAAATGCAACAGACGACGTTTCGTGAATTAGCCCTTTTTCATGGCACACGTGTGTACAAACGTTTGGAGTCAGGTGTGCTCGATGGAGATTCCCGCGGGACGGCATCCGTGCTGGACGTGGGAAGCTCCGCTCAGATATTAGGAAGCCACCGGAGCCGTGCACTTTTAACTCGAGATTGAAAACTCATTTTTGTTTAGAACGGCTTTTTGTGTTCAGTTTGTCGTCCTTCCCCCGCACCTCCGTTCAGCGCATTGGCTACGTGCGGCGCAAAAGAAGCTCAACGTACGTGCATACTAAGTGTGGATCCTATTATTCGCGTTTTTTGCACAATAATAAAACACGTCATCGTATGGACAGCACCGCGCGCCACCGCTCCCAACGCGTTCTCCCCTCCGCCACATTTCCTGCCGCTGCCGCGCAAATCGACGAGCGGCGAGCTCCAAGATCCGTTCCGACGGCCTCCTCCCGATCCGCAGATTATGAAGTGATGATGATGATGATCACGGCGGCGACACACTCCCATCACTGCCGACGCGGGTGACCGGCTCGACCATCTCCACGTGAAATTGTCGTTGCTCTGCGCCTACGTCAGCGGCCGTACCAAAGAAGAAGTCTCCCACCATGTGCTCTTAGCGCTTGCCCTGGTCGCCAGACTCGTGGGGACCACTCAAACAGCCGTCTCGTTAACTGCCCCCCCCCCCCCTTCCACCTCTTCCATCACCGAACGCGTCTTACCAGGCACAGCCCTCCCCTCTGCCTCACCGTACCTCCAAACGCTCATCCGCCAAAACATTCTCCTCCGGACTTCTGCGTTGCTTATCCTCTCTCGTCACGACAATTCCGATCGTCCGTCTCGGACAGCTGCTGCTCAAATACCACGCCGGGCCGTTTGGCAATTTGGCACGGACCGAAAATGTCTCCTTTCATTGGCGTGGACAGCCGCGAACAAACGTGGACGGGAGAACACTTCGCTGACACTTCTGGGGAGTCGACTCCGCTTCTCCCCGAGTTGCAATGAAACGCTTAAAATGCACATAACAGGAAGACTTTTCTGCTAGGCCCCCTCTTATCCGCACATTGTAGGAGAGTGCACAGCGGGGACGGGGTCACGCACAGAGGGGGAAGCCGTTCGAGCGCGACGTGGGAGACCGCATCGCGGCTGGCAAAACTACGGCGACGCTCGACTGCGGCGTGGCGATAGACGTGGGGTGGACGCGCGGCTTCGAAGAGGGACGCGTGGAGTTGTGCCCGGCGAGTGGGGGTTACGGCCTTGGAACAACGGTGAACCGCGCAGGGTTTAACTTATGAAGGTTCGCTAATTGCTTTCTACGTCGGAACCTCACTCACTCATCACCGCCTCTAATCTCAGTAGAGCGGCAAGCTCACCGACTTGTGGGTCCAAGTTGCCAGCCAGGGTGAATGAAGTCCTCGCATCACCACCATCATCACCACCACCACCACAGACTCCGTCGTCAACGCACCGAACGCGGTTTACAGTACTCGTTTCAGGTCGAGTCATTGCAGCACAGGCCCCGGGTCGGCTTCGGATGCCCTTCTGGTTGGCGTTGCTCGTGGGCCCGAGACCAGGGATCGAACCCGTGCAGTCAGAGTTGCAGTGCAACTTTGTTGAGGCTGCAACACGACACGGTCGGCTCCCCCGTGTCGAAGACGCGCGAACACACAGGCTCACGCTCGCGTGTCTCTGGGGCCCTGACCGTCTGCCGCCTGCTAATCGCATCCAAAATCCCTGCTAAATGTTTCACGGTCAAGTTTGAAAAGGGTCCCTGCGTGTTTCAAATTGCTTTAGACTTCGCGTGCACTTTACGTGCATTCTCACCGACGGCTGTAATTGCTGTAATTAAGCGACATAATTACTAAAACCCGTCACGTAATCATTTCTGGGTTTTTTTTTCTGGGATTACGCAGCAGAGTTAAGGTACAATGATTGATTGTTTACAACGGCAAAGCAGGACGCTTGGTCGTCTTATGTTGAAGACGTGCACGCACACACACACACACAGGGATCAAAGAATCCCACCGTTGATAGCCGGCGTACGCTGCTGCTGCTGCTGCAAGTGCCGTCCGCTGGCGAGCATCCACTGATGTTTAAACAGCAGACAGATGGGGCCAGCACCATGCACGCACAACTGCCTGCTTTCATCTCATTGTGGGCGACGGTGACCACCCCACACCATGTACTCGTACCAGGCTAAGTTCACCCCTACGCCAAGCTCAGATAACCAATTGCCACTCGTGCTGTGCACGAGAAGGGATCAAAGTGAGTGCAAGTTGCGAGCGTCTTGCCAGCACAATGCGCTAATCAACCACACAAAGTAGACAAAGAGCCTCCGTGTAGTGACACAGATGGCTTTGGTGAAGTTGATGTTGGTTAGCTCCTATATTGAGGCCGGTAAGACGCATGAGGTTGTAGTGTGGTGAGCACCATGCCTGGCCGCCTTTGTTTCCCCAGTGCTAATGATTTAGCACCACACAAGGTATTGAGTCAGCCTAGAGAAGGCCTAAGACAAAATTCAATTATCCTTGCCACCGATGTTGATCCATGCGAGAACCGTAACACCGCCTCTCTCTACAAACCACAACACGTATATGCATACACACAGCAACAACAATAGCCGCCATTCGCCACTACATAGTCTCAAAGTGGCACACGCTATCACGTGAAGTGTGGAAGGCTCACTGGTGGGAGGTCACAGGATAGTCCCAGGTGTTACGGGTTAACTGGCCGAGATCACTAGCAGATGCAGCACCTGTGCCCCCCACTGTTCCACAAACGTCACGCACACACATTTGCCGTGTAGACATTTCTGGCTGTTGTGGCAAGTGCTGTTAGCGAGCGCCTGTGAAGGCCGGGACTACACCAGGTCAACCTAGGGGAGGCCCAGAATCTGTTCAAATGAACACTCCTGAAGTAAGCAGTGATCAGGACTCAAGCAATGAGGGAACGCCTGGTTTGTAGCGCAGTGAGATGAGCACTACTCCACTGCTAAACTCAACATGGGTCCACTCACTTGCACACAAAGACCTATCATACAGCCTTAACAGGCTGTTTTGGGCAAGTGCTGTTAGCGAGCACCTATGAAGGCCACCGCTGTACACGAGGGGGTGGGTGGCACCATGCCCGGCCGCCTTTGTCTCCCCAGTGGCGATGTTCACACAATACACCAGATACTCATTTGAGGCTGAGTCGACCTAGGTTCGTAGGGCAGCACGTTAACCGCGACACGACCGCTCCTCCAAACACACACACACACACGCAGACAGCGTGCAATCGCACACACGCACACGCACGCACACACACGCACGCACGCGCCTCTCACCCTGCTCGCGCATGTAGAATGCCAGGAAGAGGTCGAGCTCCTTGACCGAGACGCCGATGTGGTGCGGCTGCACGCACAGCCCCGAGTGCTCGCACATCGGCGAGCGCACGAGCCGCTCGCCGTCCGTGCTCTCGAGCGGCACGCCGCGGAACAGGATCACCATGACGAGGTCGAGGCGCCACACCTTGTCGGCCTGGCGCAGGCAGTCGATGCGCCGGATCTTGCCCTTCTGGTCGGGGTTCGAGAGCACGCAGCAGGGCGGCTTCTTGCCGGTCACGGTGAGCACAAAGTCCTCGCGGCACTCGGGACGGATGTCCTTGCGCAGCTTGGCGAGCAGGCGGGAGGCCCACTTTTGCTTGACGTCGCCCTTCTCGGCGAGGAGCTCCTCCTTGGCGGCGCGTTCCTCCTCGCGCGACATGCGCTTCTCGTGCTTCTTGAAGTACTTGCGCTTGCGCGCCTGCAGGTTGAACCAGATGTAGGAGAAGGCGCGCACGTGCGGCAGCAGCGCCTCGATGAACGGGTGGAACTCGTCCTGCGGTGGCGCGGGAGAGGGGAGGAGAAGGGGGGGGGGGACAGGGATGGCGAGGTTAGGGTGATCGTCACGAGGGTCGGGGATGCGGCCGCGGTGGTGTAGTGCCGAGCACGCCGGACGACTTCGCGGCGATCGCCGGTTCGATCTGCCGGCGGCGGCTGTAAAGGTTTCTTGAATCGCCACGCATCGGTCATCCGAGCAGCATAAGCGGGCGACGCTGCAGTTAAGTCGATCGACACAGGTCCTGTGTAGTGGGGTAGAACAATGTGGGGAGTCGTAATTCTTCCGAGACACATGGCCAGTGTGGAAGGGTAGGCCAAATACCTTCCAGAGCAGCTCTCTAGAACTCTCTATATTGGAGGCCCTTCTGCCAACACACGAGCATGCGCCTGTAAACTGTATACTCTTTACCTTATAGCAGCCTATCACAACCCCAGACGGGTACTGCAAGATCCGTGATGGGTACTGCAAGATCCGACCATGTCCGTCCGGTGCTCGCCGAGCTGCATTTGCTTCCAGTTGCTGAACGAATAGATAAGGTCGCGCTAATTACACACAAAGTGCTTGCCACAAATGAAGCACCACAACACCTCGCTGATCTCATCAAGGAGCATAAAAATCATCATCATCATCACGCGAACTCCGGGCATCCTCGCAGCAGACATCGAACAAAGACGGTGGTCACCGCATCGCGAGCTGTCAGATGCGCTTGCTGCGGCCGTCTGGAACGCTCTTCCATCCGATATTAGGAAGCCACTGGGGCTGCGTGCTTTTAAAATCTAAATTCAAAACGAATTTCTTTAGAACTGCTTTTTGTGTTGAGTTTTTTTTTCCTTCCCCCGCATCTCCAATTAGCACGGTTGGCTACGTATGATGCGAAAGAAGTTCGACATACACACCTTTTTATGATTCGCATTTTCTGATCCACGTCACGGCCGGGAGCATGCACCGTTTGCAAATGTGGACGGATCGCAAAATATATTTTGTCGATCTCAGGACCGAATTACAATAATCACTCGCGTGAGCGTACAATAGTGGGCGTGTAGAGCGCCGAGTTGCGATTGCATTCAGGCAGAGGGAGCAGTACTTTAATGCCCATCCTTTCCTCCAGACACACTACGTGCTGGGGGGGGGGGGGCATGTGACTTAAACTATGAAAGATTGTATTTTACCAGGCAGGTAAGACCCACTGGGCTACACAATAGCTCCGTTTTGAGAAGCGACCCGGCAACAAATGATATTTCAACAAAGTGGCTTAGCATGTGAAAATTTATAGCAGCCAAAATACCCTAAACGCGTCATGTTAATTATAAATGTGGAGGGAGAAAACAGGAGGACCCGGGGGAAAATCCGCGGGGCAGATATAACATCTCGTCACCGTGGTGACTTGCGGGTCAGAGTCACGTGGTGCGCTAGGTTGTCACGTGACCCGCAGATCAGTGTCGCGTGGTGCGCTAGGTTGTCACGTGACCCGCAGATCAGTGTTACGTGGTGCGCTAGGTTGTCACGTGACCCGTAGATCAGTGCCGCGTGGTGCCGCTAGGTTGTCACGTGACCCGCAGATCAGCGCCGCGTGGTGCGTTGGAAGGCGACAATGTGAGCGCAAATGATCGTGGATATTTGAATTCTAATCTACAGCCGTCGGTAATTCCAGAGCAACGCAAATGACGTGTCTAGCTGGTACGGCAAGGCCTCGACATCCTGGTGGGCTTCTGTTCTTGGAAGTCTGCGCGGAAGGAGGTACTGTGTGTTTATGTGGGAATAAGGGGGTTTGGTTCCCGTGTATACGACTGAACATACGGGGAGAAAATGAAAATGTTTCCTCACGTTAGTCCTGTTATGTACACATAAATAACATCCACATGGTTATTTAAATTGTACAACAACACACATATATACTAAAACACAAATGATACAACAGAACAGATCAACAGATTATACCGTAAATTAGGAAGTTTGATTTACCTTGGAGGATGATGATGATGACGCTACTTTGGCGGTCATCGGTGCACTTGCCCGCGCCACACTTTCCCTACTTACCTTCTCGCGTTTATTTATAAATCTTTATACCTCTGTCGACTCGTAATGTTGGTCCAGCAGCGGACGCACGACCCGCCACGAGCAAGTCTATCCAACAAACTCTTCCTTTTGATCTGAAACTCATCGCTGCCCTCTTTTGACGCTTATAAACCCCACGACCGGAATTAATAATGAGTAAAAACCCACCGCACACGAGGCACAAAAAAAGCACAAAAAGGCGGTGGCACTTGAACAATAAAACCTTCTCTTTGGTTCTAATAGAACCAAAGAGTATGGATCCGAGCAGTCACGAAAGCTTTAAATCTAGAATAAAACCTTCATCATTGTGGATCGCACACCGTGGCCCACAATCCACTGCTGTGCTGTGCAAGTACAGTGGCCCTCCACCCCGATGCGCTGCTGCTACATCGTTTACAAATACACAATCGCCAAGTGAATTCAAATTTCGCGATAGATAAATCCACGAATGAAGAGGTTTTAAGGAAAAGCATGAATCTACGTTTGTTATAGATAGAATGGTAATTATAAGCAAAATTTGATCATGGTAATGTAAAGTATGTAAAACGGTACAAAAGTCACAACGTGGTCCGTGGTCCTTTGTTATTGAGTGGCACAGGAGGATGTTGTATCCGTGGGCCTAGTCATGACTCGTCAAAAACTTGTTAGGTGCACATATACATTCGCTAACTTTTCATTGTACATAGAATATAACGTTGTTTCACAATAACTGTGTGGATGGCCATCGGGGCATAGTTAATCTCGCATTGCAGGGCCTGAGTCGGGCCTAGTTGGTCTTAGCGTGGGGCCTAGCTGGACATGCATGTGCTCGGGCCTAGTCGGTCCCACGCGTTGGGGAGCCTTAGCGTGGGGCCTAGCTGGGCATGCATGTGCTCGGGCCTAGTCGGTCCCACGCATGGGGGAGCCTTAGCGTGGGGCCTAGTTGGTCGCGCACGTGGCGGAGCCTAAGTTGGGCCTAGTGATGCACTGCATCTGAATAAAATCAACGCGTCCCTGAGGCTCTTTCATCATTTTTTTGCATTCGATTTATTTATTTATTCGGCTCGAGTTTGTTTTCAAGAATACTGCTGTGACATTTCAATGGACAGCTTGTTGACCAGATTTCACGACGGTATGCCTTAATTGTGCGTTACGCACGCAGTGCTTTGCGGCAGGACATGAAAAACAATACTTTTCTAGAAGAAACGGAATCTCCTTGCATGAATAAAGTAGCTTTCCTCGTATAAACAAAAACATGCTTGGGCACTAGCAGGTTAAATCCGAGTTCATTTTTAGTCACGCAGCTTTGTGGTGGTTCTGCAGAACCCGTTGAGATCCACCAACATGGATCGCGTCGCTTGGTGGACTGACGGCCCACTGTTCTAAACAGGTCCCTGCAGGGTGGGCTGGTAGGACAAGTCTCTGCGCTGTCTATTGCTGATTTTACACCCAACAGCACGAGATTTCACTTCGTTAAAGTATTGAAAGGGGACGGACGGACACATTAATCTATTGCAGGCTGGTACACTCAGTTTACAACTTCGTTCCTACCAGTAACAGATCCGATAGCACCGCGGTGCTCTTCACGATGACGTTCGGCTTCCCAAAGAGGCGGTGATGTGGCCCAGCGGTCGCGTGTTTTTTGTCGCTTGCTGCAGAGGCTCACGGTTTGAATCCGGCGGTGGCCGCCCCGAATAAATCCTGCCGGTATGTTTCACCGTTAAAAAGGCTACGTTACGGCGTGAAAGAAGTTCAACGTGCACAATTAAAAAAAAATATATATGCGCAGCCTGATATACAGTGGACGTTCCAAGGTCCCGTTAAGTCATTCTGCAATAGTAGACCATCACTGGCCACATTTGTCCAATTTGGAAGATGTAAATGTCCTGCAAATGACTCGACTGGAAGACGGACAGTGATATCAGTGGCCCCTGACCATGGAAACTTGGCAGGTCCCTGCTGAAAAGTCATCGTCAGTCTCGGTGACACTTAAGTGGGATAAACAAGCATTGTTGTAACAATAATTAGGTCTATATAATGTACCATGTTTTTGCTGTAATTTAAATGTCTCGCCAAAGTGCATCACGATTGATTTCAGTTAGTCAAATAGTTGTACGTAAAACTGTACTTTCGTTTTTCTCATCTTCACCAAAACCTCGTCAATCCAATGAACTGCACATTTGAAAATAAATAAATCTGAGATTCCAAAATACTTTTCCATTCACGTTTCCACCTTTTATTGTCAAAGACTTTACTTCAAAATTCTTTATTAATGTTCCTGATTTATGACTCACACGGTGGAGGAAAGAGACATGTTAATGTCGAATGAAGCCAAAGGACCCTTTCCAAATGAGCTACAGTATTGGCATTCCACATCGGTAAAGATGTTTAGGGACACAGCTGGATGTTTCCTCGAGTCCGAGCCAATTTTGCAAACGGATTGAAACCTGCGTTGTTGCACGCAGCCAACTCTGTGTTTGGTAAGCGTGTATTTGTGATGGACTTAGACTCATCGGAGTGCAGCGATAACAAACGTTCCGGCTTGCCGAGATATTAAATATCGGCCTAGAACGCACCGCATCGTCGATGCTGATGACTGGACTCCCACCATTGGAGTATCACAGCACAGCAGAAGAGGAGGAGGATGTTACACCCCTACACGTAGCTACTACCCAGCAGACCGCAATGATGCTGATGACTGGACCCCCATCATTGGAGTATCACAGCAGAAGAGGAGGAGGATGTTACACCCCTACACGTAGCTACTACCCAGCAGACCGCAATGATGCTGATGACTGGACACCCATCATTGGAGTATCACAGCACAGCACAAGAGGAGGATGTTACACCCCTACAGGTAGCTACTACCCAGCAGACCATAATGATGCTGATGACTGGACCCCCATCATTGGAGTATCACAGCACAGCAGAAGAGGAGGAGGATGTTACACCCCTACACGTAGCTACTACCCAGCAGACCGCAATGATGCTGATGACTGGACCCCCATCATTGGAGTATCACAGCACAGCACAAGAGGAGGAGGATGTTACACCCCTACAGGTAGCTACTACCCAGCAGACCGCAATGATGCTGATGGCTGGACCCCCATCATTGGAGTATCACAGCAGAAGAGGAGGAGGATGTTACACCCCTACACGTAGCTACTACCCAGCAGACCGCAATGATGCTGATGGCGCCATTTTGTAGACATTTTTTTGTTTTTGCAAAACTGATCGTAATAAAAAAAATTGCCAATTCCATGCAGTTCGGTGCCCGGGGCAATCGTGGGAATGTTACGGACGGTTCCGTGCAACTCTCGCCCATCGATCAAAAGTTTGGACAAAAAAAAAAGTTACTTTCATCATTTCCTCGCATTGTGGCAGGCTACGGCGGTGTACAGCGTCTTAAGGCTCCCGTCGCAACGCCGTTTTCGTAAGAGTGGCCTTTGTTTGGTTGCGCGACCTTCAGGCATTTCCATAAACACGTAACAACTTGCATTTCATAACGCCTCTACGCCCTGGAGCACACGCAGATGCGACACAGATATGCAACACGCACGCACGCGCACAAAGCACTGCACAAAACCATGCGAGCTTACAGTATGCGTAATGAATACTGTGTAATGTGTACGCTAATGGCCGGGATATACTGTACTGTAGCTCGGCTCACAAAGTTCACAGTCACGAGATTGTGAAATCATATTCCGGCCAGGGTTGATTCACCTGATCATCATCACCATCATCATCGTCGTGATCCCAAACCCTCCCCTCCCTCCCCAGAAGGGATTTAGCAAGCACCGATGCACAGCGAGTTGATGGGCAGTCCGACGCCTGATGTCGTCCTATGAACATACGGGTTTCGCCATAGGAACGTGTAATTTCCGAACTTTTGTCTCAGAACCACCACGTGGGACACGACCCGAGACTCGTCGCGAGCTTACAACCGCGTCGTTCAGACGTTACCTTTTTTTTACTCTACTGCAGTATTACTTTTAACATTCGACGCCAGTTCACAGTGCGGCCGCTTTTCTGCAAGGGTTTGTTAAGCGGGGTCTTGAACGGAACTTTACCAGCACACAGTCGGGGTTTGATCTGGTGCCGTCGAGAGGTTTCAAACACACCGATTTTTTTTTCTGTTCCCCAAAAACTCACGGGCGACCGTCAGTTCCTGCAATTTATACCAGGAAACATAATTTAATTCTTATCGCGGGCCCCATGGTATGCAAAAGTTGCTGTCTAAAACTCCTATTCACCCTACCTCTCTCTCTCTGTGTGCTGTGAAGAGCCATTGCCCTAATTATTGCCTGGTCTATGCTTATTCTTTTGATGGCCGCAGTGTCATTGATAAATGTGCAGAGTGCTTTTTTGTTACTTGTGCCTTTTGCACAACTGCCAAGGCAGTTAGCAGCGAATAAATATGCTTCAGCTCTGCAATACATTCTCAGCCAGTATTTTGAATTTTGGGGGGGGAAAAAAATACAGCATTTTTTTGTTCCAACTCTCCCCTGCTTGTATTTGTCGGTCAAACCATATTTTCGTCAACGCTTACATTTTCACATATTACAGCATATACCCCCCCCCCCACCCCCCCACAATGCACTATTGGCACAATGCCACACCGCCAAACTATTTTCAACAAAACCATGTCCAGGAACTCCTACGGAAAGCAGAGCCCACGTTGCACATTACATAATGGCTCGGTGACGTGCCATCGCAAATCCCTGAGCTGCCACCCTCCCAAACGACGATGTGCGGCTACACGCGGGATTTCGCGACGTACCACGAGACCCCGCGGGAAGATATTTCGATCCGCGCCCGTCTGCCGTTGTTTTTGTTGTTGTTGACAAAATGTATTCTGGCTGAGCTGGACATTAACGAAAGCGTTAATCATCGATGGCCAGACAGGAATTGAAAATACAGGAGAACCCAAATCCGCGGCGCTATTACCTACAACTATTGTCCGTGACAGCCGTATGGTCTGCGAAAACTCCTATTATCCACGTGCATATGTCTTGCTATCATCCGCAGTTGTCCGCAATTGTATCCACAATGCACAGCAAAAAGCGGTTTCCTAATACTCACAATTATCCGCAATTGTATCCACAATGCACAGCAAAGCGGTTTCCTAATACTCACAATTTTTCCGTGGATAACAAATTCATCCCATTATCCGGGGAATTATCCACATATTTTTATCCCACGGTTAGGAGTAAAATTGCAGATAGCCCTGTGGATAATAAGATCCACGGTATTCGTCCCACATATCGTAAAGACCAGGGGTTCTTCTGTACAACAATCTGATGAAAGGTAAACACAAACTTATTGGACAAAGTCAAGGAATGAAGACTGCTGTCAATTCGAACACGCTACAAGAATGAGCTCGGACGGGATCCCGTACCTGGCGATGCTGCACTTGGGAAGAGGATAAAATAGGAATATGGGAAGGATAAAAAAAAATCTGGTGGGACAGATGCAGGGGTAAAATATCTTTGAAGATAAAGCATTGAGATTGAACAAAGCGGTGATACTGGCTTCAACAAAAAAGAACCACAGCGAAAATTCATTCAGCCCAATCGTAGCTAATGAGCCGTCAGAAGCGGCAGATGATGACTGATGGCCAAGCTGGGACTTATCAAAGTAACATGTTTTAGAACTCACGTCCAGTCAAAAGTGCATCCCTATGCAGCACCTCCCGATCAGCTAAGGTTGGCGACGTACGGCGCGAAAGAAGTTCAACGTACATACGTGCAATGAGTGCTGGGAGATGCTTTTCTCCTTTGATTACCCAAAGGAACAGTGGTGGAGACTCCACATCCCTTTGCCAGGACATAAGTCTCTCCACGTGACAACCGCTATTGATGTCCTTGCACAGAACGGTGCAGCCTCACCAGATGGTGATCATTTTACAGACTCCACAGGGATAACGGCGGTGGTGGTTATGATGATGATCGTGGCGGAAAGTTGAACCCGTCGCACCATCTCATGATTTAGAGGCCTGCTGCTCCACCAATCTGAGCTCTACAGCCCAGGATAGACAAATACACACCGCTGCACAACGCCCATCGCTAGTTTATGTGAATTCTGTAGAGTACTGTACACGAAAGCACAACACACACGCTACGCAACAGGAGGGTCACTCTTTATCAGCTCAGCAGACTGGAACGTAGTGCAACACTGCAGTAATATTATAATGCTCTTATTTACACCAAGAAAGCCTCACTAAGTCGCCAAGACTTTTTCAGAAGAGTCCTAAATTTGGATATTTGGTATATTGAATGAACGAGCGTTTGGTTTTGCTTCGGAGGAAACTGGAGAACCCGGAGGAAATGGTGGCGTACGAGTGAGGTGCGCTTGACGTGCCGCACGGATAGATTCAGGAATCCGTTGATGTTTTTGCTCTTTTGCTGGCCGCATAACAGCTCGAACCGAGGGCCACCTGGTTGGTGTTCCTGTGCGGTCTCGCATTCCAAGCGAGTTAAGCAGGCTCAAAATTATGCTTAGCTTCAGATGCGCTTGGGGCGATTCGGTTTTACAGTAAGTCACGGTAGTCGTGTGGTATCGTTTAAAATACAAGGACCGAACCGATAACCAAATTATTTGGTTCATGCTGCGGTGGCAGTGGTGAGTTTAACACGTAGGAGGCTTTTGCGACCAATATTAATCCATAATAGTTTTTTTAGGTTAGAATCGCGTCACTATAAATGTGTCGTTAAACCCGCCACCACCCGACACAGCCAATTAGTGAGGGTTGTCACGTACACAGAACGTGGCCAATTCGTTACTAGTACAGCACACCTGGCTGTGTCGGGTGGTGGAGGGTTTAACGACGACACATTTACAGTGACGCAATCTAACCCCCAAAAAAACTTGTGGTAGTGGTGCACAAGCACAATTAATAAATAACCCCAGCACATTAATCAATAACACTGTGGCATTTTCATAAAAGCAATTGAGAGGTGCAGTTTCATGTAGCGGTCCTTTTTCATAGCACAGCGATCGCCGCACACAATGATTGAATACATGAGTAAATCTTGACTTGAAGCTTTCGTGACTGCAGGAATTCATATTCTTTGGGTCTTTTCGGTAAAGACACGTGGACAGGAAAAAATTACAAGAAAATATCGACGTTTCGATCGCAACACAAGCGGTCGTCTTCATGAAAAAGCCTTTTTGTTATTTTTTCTGTCGACGTGGCTTTACCGAAAAGACCCAAAGAATATGAATTTATGAGTGTCTGTGATTACAATGGTCCTTATTCCTAGCGTATGGCCATTGTGTCGCCTTCTTCACGTGCTATGAAGAAGGGCAATTGCCCGAAACGTTGCCTTTCACCTACATTTTCTTTTGTTCCCCTTTAAGGTCACAGCGTTATTGATGAAAGCGTCGAGTTATTTTCTTTTGCTGATGATCAGTTACTACTTCAGCCCAGCGGTGTGTTGGAGAGTAAATCCACAACATGTACAATTTGATTACAACGTTTCGCTGCTAATTACATCCAGCATCATCGGGCGATTTGCCAGAACACACCGGTGGGCTGAAGTAGTAACTAATTGGCGTTTTGTTTACGTGACAAATCCCTTACTAATTGGCTGTGTCGGGTGGTGGAGGGTTACGACACATTTATACTTAAGCGATCAAACCCAAAAAACCTTTACTATGAATATTGGTGGCGAAAGCCTACGTGTTCAACTGACCCATCTTACGTCTAGCACGTGAGCTGTAGCGTCGACTCGCAACGCACCGCACACACGACTCGCTCGCTCCCGAAAAGGAGAGAGAGAGAGACCGGACTCAGAGACGCGTGGAATCATAGGCAAACGGAAAAGATTAATTTTTCCACTCATCTCAAGAGCCTCGGCACCACACTCGACCAGAATGTGTTGTTTAATCACCGCGTGCACAACATAGTCAGGACCTGCAATTTTCATGTCAGGGCTCAGCAACACATTCGACCACGAGTGAGTCGAGACATAAACAACACCGTGGCGTGTAGCACTATATCGACAATGCTCGATTATTGCAACTCGCTACTCTACGGGATGTCTGGAAAAAACATTTCCAAAGCTGCAGCGTGCACAAAATTCTTTGGCACGCACCGTGACGGTTCCTGCGAGATCCGAATGTGTCCGTCCAGTGCTCGCTCAGCTGCATTGGATTTCGGTTTCCGAACGAATACATTGTGGGGTTGCACTCATTACACGCAAAGTGCTTTCCACAAATGAACCACAATAACTTGCTGATCTCGTCAAAGAAGGAGCATAAACACCATGCGATCTCCGGTCATCCTCGCAGTGTCTTTTAGCTAACCATGAAACAAGACGGTCACCGCATCGCGTGGCGCTTTCAGATGTGCTTCTGCGGCCGTCTGGAACGCTCTTCCTTTCGACATTAAGAAGTCACTGGAGCTATGCACTTTTAAATGATCTAGATTGATAACTCATTTCTTTAGAACTGCTTTTTGTGTTTAGTTTGTTGTCCTTCCCCCGCACCTCCAATTAGCACGGTTGGCTACGTACGGTGCGAAAGAAGTTCAACACACATGCATTGGCAGGCAGGCTGCGAGCCGGTACCGAATTCTCCCCCCAAGCTCTGCGATCCTCTACATAAGAAGACATCGGCCAACTGATGAGTGCTTTGCGTGTGGTAGGAAACCGGAGCACCCGGAGAAACGCCACGCGGGCAAGGGGACACCACTCTACCCCACACAGACGACACAGGTGGAGTCCACATCTTGCTGGACCGGCGACTCCCGGTAAGCCGCAGGGGGTAGGTGAGACCTCGATGCCAGTGGCAAGGGACATTCACAACGTTTGTGTGATCCACCAACCCTGGCCCCCACACATGGATTACAGGCATGCCCCAACAGGGGATACACATTCCCGTGATATTCCTCCTCTCTTAGAGTTACATATCCGTTGCTGGGCATGTGCTTGTCACCCTAACCCATATTCCAGCCACAATGGACCCTGCTCAAGCACACGTATGTCACGACCAGTAAACGTAACATCTCCCATTTCCACTCGTTCCCCAATCCGCGTGATGAGTGTAATTCTGAGCGAGCTTCCCTTCATCCCAGCAGACGAGCAACGTTGACCCAACGTTTCTCGTCTGCTGGGATCGTTCTCTGTGCACTTCTAGGCTTTTTTTGTTCCATTTTTTTTTATTCATCAAGTGTCCATATATTTTATGAGACCACGGTCATAGATGGTGGCATGCACTAAATTACAACGTTTTCTTTGTGCAGCGTGCTCTTTTTCAATAAGCTATGAATATACTATGAGAGAAGATAATACGGCAGCAGGGACACTCGCTAAATTGGGTTCGATTCCCATTCAGGGCGAGCGAAACTTTTGAGATACTGCATGCGCTAGACACTCCTCGAAGGTAAAATGGTCGTATAGTACATTTTTATGCTGGTGGGGTAAAGAGTGGGTAACCTTCGAACCTTACAATCTGTTCCACAGAAATTATGCCGTCAGTATTTAATACCCAACCACATTGGACTACTCACCCACGGCAAACATAGCTGATCACACAGCCAAATTGAACGTGGCATGAACTGCAAAGTAGTAAACAGCATGAGCATAACGCCACGGACATAAAGCGGTCTTTAACAAACAAAAAACATCATCTGCGGCACATATCTGGCCCGCATTTCCCCACGCAGCGCACAGCTTGCAAGTACGGATTTTTACAATTCCAGTTTAGATTTATACGACATCAGCAACGTGCAAAAAAGTAAAAACTTAACGCATTCGTCAATAACAGTGGGCGGCGTAAAAAACTAAAAAACTTTACAACTGGCGACATGACGGGCAATGTCCCCTCTGCAAAGCGCGTGGTGAAAAAGAAGCATTCGTGAATGTCTTGGCTATGAAGAAGAGCCATTGCCTGAAAGGTTGGCTGTCACCTAAGTGTTGTTCTACTTGGTTCTTTCGGTAAAGTCACGTAGAAGGGAAATAATAAAGTAAAAAAGTAAACATTTTTATTTTATTATTATTTTATTATTTTATTATAATTTCCCTTCTACGTGACTTTACCGAAAGAACCAAGAAAATGAATCCCTGCAGTCACGAAAGCTTTAAATCGAAATTTAATTGTTGTTGTTAACTGTGCTTATGCACCACCGCCAGCATAGCAGCAGCAGCGCCGGACAATACGTACAATAGTAGTGTTGTCGTACGACAACTGGTAATCCAGTAACCGTTCTCAGAATCGATTACCGGTTCAAAGATAAAGTTCATGAGCCGGAAATCATCTCCGTCGGGAATGCACCGATTTGCACGCGCAACCGTACAAACGATACGGCGGCCCTTCCGATTAGCGCACGGTTAGCTACGTACGGTGCAAAAGAAGTTCCACGAACAGCACACAATCGTGATGATAATTCTGCACCTCCGATTAGCGCGCGGTTAGCTGCGTACGGTGCTAAAGAAGTTCAACGTATGCACGTACACATCGTCACCGCTTGGTACACTTGTCCCCGTGTCTCAGTTTCACGGTGAAAGGCTCAGCCCTGCAATTGTTCGCTTGCTCGCATCACTGCTAGCGGAAGAGCCTCCACTCGTGGGAATTATAATAGGGGGTCTTTGGTCTACTCTTCCACGCTGCCTGGACGTCTCGGTGGAAGGTGGCGTGTGCGTATAGATGCATGTCAAACTCCTTTCGTACGTAACCAACCAGAAGCTTCCTCCTTCACTCTGCTGTTCGGATATGGAACTGCCTCCCTGAACACATTGTCGGCGAGATCACCGATTCTCGTCTTCAGGCCTTCAAGTGCCGAGCTCGCACGAGGAGCGTCTCCTAACCTCACTACACACCTTGTAGGAACTGAGTCTTTAACTCTAGTGGACCAATGGCTATGCCGATCAGATGCACTGACGTCTGATATGGCCGTTGTTCACAATTGCACCCAAATAAAACAAAAACCCGTGCTAATCGGGAGGTGCGGGATGCCCGCCGCACTCCTCCGCACACGACCTGCCGATCGACTGACCGCCGTGCACCCAATTACACAGCTGGGTGGGCGGGAGACCGTGTGGGGGCTTTAAAAGAAAACAACCTTGCACCATCGTCTCGGCCGTCGTTCCCGGGGGAGATGGGATCGAACCGGCGACCCTTGGGTTGCAGCAGGGCCAGTACGCCAATCGTTAACCCCAGTGCAGAGGCTCCCTTCACTTGTCGGTTTCAAATGTTCGCTTGCTGCGTTTATCGCCCTGGACGTGTGTAACGTGTGCGGGAATCCGGTAACCGGGTTTTTCAATCGGTTACCGGCGATGCAAAAAAAACCCGATTTGAGCAACCCCAATTTGCGGAGCGTGTAAACCGCCGCCGCCGCCGCTGTGTCGATCCACTTAAGTGTCGTCGCGAAGACCGTGCAAGCGAAGTCAGTGCACAGCAGAGACACCTTGGACCGCCAATGCGTAGCCAATCCGGCACAGCCGACACACGCAGACGAGCCTAACGTAGAACACACATCACACAGACAACACATAGCGTGAACATAGCCAGCGCGTATCCCGTGTCCAAAACAGCACACGGTTTGGCCACAAACACAGCTGACGGTGTGTATCGAACAAACACAGCTGACGGTGTGTATCGTACAGCCGGCCACACACAGGACAGCTAACGGCGTGCAACACATAGCCAGCGCGTAGCATATGGGTAACGCGCATCGCACACAGCACGACACAAAGTAACGTGCAGTAAATAGTCTACAGCATATAGTCAAGCCATCGAGCATTGCCAATACATATCACTTGCATAGCATATATTACACAATAAGTACCTTGTTTGCACATTCTACTTCATAGCACATAAGTAGCACACTAGCAGTAAAAGGGTACTATGCTAACCAATGCACTTTATGTAAAGGAATTACATGTACACAGCCAATGCATATAACATAGCTTATAACACACAGCACGTGCCATGCCTATGCAGCGTACAATGCACACAGCCTGTGCGGAAACCTTAACTCGACATAACAAACACAACACACACGGCAAGCGCGGGTAGTCCGTGATGCTTCGCAGGCAAGTAGCGCACACCATACATTACATAAACATAGATACATCTACATAAATCTATAATCAATCACGATCAATCCACTGCTGGACGAGGACGCTCGAGGCCGTTGTCATCGCTCGCAATCCTGCGATGTTAACAAATCCAACCGGCGCACGCCACCTGATTTCGTCGCTCCATCTCCCCGACGGACGTTATTTCTCTGTCTCCTCTACGCCGTACCCTGCCACTCACTCCATCGCTACTTTTGCCCACCGGTCGGGGTCTCATCGAGCGACGTGTCCTGCCCAAGCCCCCTCGCTCGCTCACTTATTCTTCACAGTCAATACGGTGTTACGCAGCGTTGCACCCGAGTAACGTTCTCAAACCCACGCACGCGTTCCTCTTCATCTCAGCGAAATTCTCAAGCGTGCATCTCTACACGCAGTACTTGTATGGCACTTGTCTATGCGTACGTTTGTTCGGCTGCTGTTCCATCTTCCTTGTTATCCATCTCAGTATTTCTGAACAGTTGTCCCATAGTTGGTGGACCGCATTGATTTAAACTCGTTATTCTTTAGACACAAAGCTGCGTTGCTTTTCAAGATCAAGTTCAGGTATTCCATCAGGAACTCTGTCTGCCTCTTTACCCAGTAAACACATGCCGATATTGGGCCACATCGCTGGTTGGAACCATTGGAACAACGTTGGCCCAACGTTCCATGTTCAAGAGGTATTCTATCACATTGATCCCAGTCTGCATTTAATAACACTCACACAGAAACCCATCAACTCAAAGAGACCCATCAACTCACACAGAGATCCGTACACTCGTACATAAACACATCAACTCACACAGAGGCCCATACACTCGTACATAAACCCATCAAATCACACAGAGACCCATACACTCGTACATAAACCCATCAACTCACACAGAGACCCGTACACTCGTACATGAACCCATACACTCAGAGGCCCATACACTCACACAGAGACTCATATACACTGGGACGGACACCCATATGCATATAAATTGTTGTGTTTTCAATTTCTCCCTCCGACAGATAATGACACTTCAATTGTTTAGCAACTGTTGGAAATGTCCTTTATTTTTTTAATAAAGTTTTTGTGGTGGTATAGGGTTCATATAAACATCGCTATAGATACGTACAGTGTATCTGTAGACTCTAAGATTACATGCAGGAAGCAAGAGCGTGCAGATTAAAAGGGGAAGTCGGTGAAGCCACGTGGCACGCTTTTGCCAAACTTATTCGCACAGCGGCATTAAGAAAACATTTTCCCCAAAACTGGATGGGCGAAATAAATGCACGGCAACGTGCGAATGCAGAAGACCTCCAATCACCCCAGATTTGACTTGTGACAATCCCTACGGTGTACCGGTGATGAACCAGCTGGAAACGGTTCGACAGCTACTCCTGTAACCTCATAAAAAGTCGGGCTCGGGATAAATCATGGGGGGGGGGGGGGACAAAAGCCAAAGAGGTCACATACAGCAAGTTGGCGAAGCAAGCGTAGTTTGCCTGTCGGCGGGACGCTCTGCAACAGCGGAGAGAGCGATGTGTTCATGATGAAAATGTACGCGATCTAACCCATGGATGATATTGGTCGCGAAAGCCTACGTGTTCAACAGAGTGGTGTGTGTGTGTGTACCTGAGCAAGCGAATTGAAGGCTGTCCGGCAGCGATAATAGAAAATAAATGGGTGGACTCGGGCAGGTTGGGCCTCTTGATTTGAAGCTTTCGTGACTGCAGGAATCCATACTCATTGGTTCTTTCGGTAAAGTCACGTAGGTAATTTTATTTTATACCTACGTGACTTTACCGGAAGAAACAAAGAGCATAGGTTGGGACTCGGCAAACATGCAAACGTTTCATATTCTTGGTTCTTTCGGTAAAGTCACGTAGAAGGGAAACAAAATTATAAAAATATAAAACAATAAAATTCTCACTATCTGCATATGAATCCCTGCAGTCACGAAAGCTTTAAATTAAAAAAAATGCAAATGTTTGCCCAGCGTTGGCATGCGGTTTGCTAAAACCGTTGTATCGACGTTCGCCTAATGTTCTCACGTGGTAGGAACGTTGGACCAACGTTGGCGCGACGTTCAATGTTTACCGGGGAGTGCTTTGGAAAAGTTCAACTTGATTGTGAAAAGTAGCAAACTAATGTTCACAAAGAAGAAGTTGTATTTTGAGCCCATTCCGCTACTACTACCTGCTATGGAATGTTTCAGAAACATGGGACATCTACAAAAATATAACAATAAAACTGAACAGTTTTTCTATTTGCCAGGTAAGGCCGCACTGAGCTGTATAGCTCTTTTTCAGAAGTGACCTGGCCCCAAATGATAGCTCAACGAAGTGGCTTATCATAGCAGCCAGACACTCTAAACGCGTGATGTTGATTCTAAATCTGGAGGGAAAAACCGGAGGACACGTAGCAAAATCCAAGCGATCAGGGGGAGAAAGACACGCAAACTCCAAATATACAGCAGCAGGCGTCAGGGTCGGGCTTGAAGCCATGACCTCCTGTATACTTGGTGATGTAGTTAACATCTAAAATAAATAAAAAGTGCACAAAGAAGCATGGGAATAGGTTGATGGTTGGAGATACATTGAGAGATAGGCAGACGGAGCACGTGTATTGGAAGAACATACGCAAGTTTGCCGCATATTTCAAATGGTTAAGAAAGATGCAGGCTTGGAGGAGGAGGGAACCACCCAGGGGGAGATGGAGCAATGAAATCGGCTCGTGTTGCAGGTAGAAGGTGGATTATTATTACATCGCAGGATAGTGAAAGGTGGCAGTGGCTTCGGGAGGCCTTGATCCAGCAGTGGATGGACCATGGCTGACGATGACGATGATACTTGTAAAGGTATCGTTGTAGGCAACTGCTATGAATGCATAGCATGCTGAACTGTATGTGGACATTCTGTGGATATATTCTGCTCCTCTTTCATAATCTGTATAGCCAGCATGTTGAACTTCACAGCACGCAGCAGCGTAACAACTTTACAACACATAGCAGCACACAGTTAACACTACACATAGCAGCACACACAGTTAACACTACACATAGCAGCACACAGTTAACACTACACATAGCAGCACACAGTTAATACTACACATAGCAGCACACAGTTAACACTACACATAGCAGCACACAGTTAACACTACACATAGCAGCACACAGTTAACACTACACATAGCAGCACACACAGTTAACACTACACATAGCAGCACACAGTTAACACTACACATAGCAGCACACAGTTAAAACTACACATAGCAGCACACACAGTTAATACTACACATAGCAGCACACAGTTAACACTACACATAGCTGCACACACAGTTAACACTACACATAGCAGCACACACAGTTAACACTACACATAGCAGCACACACAGTTAAAACTACACATAGCAGAAAACACAGTTAATACTACACATAGCAGCACACAGTTAACACTACACATAGCAGCACACAGTTAACACTACACATAGCAGCACACAGTTAACACTACACATAGCAGCACACACAGTTAACACTACACATAGCAGCACACACAGTTAACACTACACATAGCAGCACACACAGTTAACACTACACATAGCAAGCACACAGTTAACACTACACATAGCAGCACACAGTTAACACTACACATAGCAGCAGCACACAGTTAATACTACACATAGCAGCACACACACAGTTAATACTACACATAGCAGCACACACAGTTAATACTAGACATAGCAGCACACACAGTTAATACTAGACATAGCAGCGCACACAGTTAACACTACACATAGCAGCACACAGTTAACACTACACATAGCAGCACACAGTTAACACTACACATAGCAGCACACACAGTTAATACTACACATAGCAGCACACAGTTAACACTACACATAGCAGCACACACAGTTAACACTACACATAGCAGCACACACAGTTAACACTACACATAGCACACGCAGTTAAAACTACACATAGCAGCAAACACAGTTAATACTACACATAGCAGCACACAGTTAACACTACACATAGCAGCACACAGTTAACACTACACATAGCAGCACACAGTTAACACTACACATAGCAGCACACACAGTTAACACTACACATAGCAGCACACAGTTAACACTACACATAGCAGCACACACAGTTAACACTACACATAGCAGCACACACAGTTAACACTACACATAGCAAGCACACAGTTAACACTACACATAGCAGCACACAGTTAACACTACACATAGCAGCAGCACACAGTTAATACTACACATAGCAGCACACACAGTTAACACTACACATAGCAGCACACAGTTAACACTACACATAGCAGCACACACAGTTAACACTACACATAGCAGCACACAGTTAACACTACACATAGCAGCACACAGTTAATACTACACATAGCAGCACACAGTTAACACTACACATAGCAGCACACAGTTAACACTACACATAGCAGCACACAGTTAACACTACACATAGCAGCACACACAGTTAACACTACACATAGCAGCACACAGTTAACACTACACATAGCAGCACACAGTTAAAACTACACATAGCAGCACACACAGTTAATACTACACATAGCAGCACACAGTTAACACTACACATAGCTGCACACACAGTTAACACTACACATAGCAGCACACACAGTTAACACTACACATAGCAGCACACACAGTTAAAACTACACATAGCAGCAAACACAGTTAATACTACACATAGCAGCACACAGTTAACACTACACATAGCAGCACACAGTTAACACTACACATAGCAGCACACAGTTAACACTACACATAGCAGCACACACAGTTAACACTACACATAGCAGCACACACAGTTAACACTACACATAGCAGCACACACAGTTAACACTACACATAGCAAGCACACAGTTAACACTACACATAGCAGCACACAGTTAACACTACACATAGCAGCAGCACACAGTTAATACTACACATAGCAGCACACACACAGTTAATACTACACATAGCAGCACACACAGTTAATACTAGACATAGCAGCACACACAGTTAATACTAGACATAGCAGCGCACACAGTTAACACTACACATAGCAGCACACAGTTAACACTACACATAGCAGCACACAGTTAACACTACACATAGCAGCACACACAGTTAATACTACACATAGCAGCACACAGTTAACACTACACATAGCAGCACACACAGTTAACACTACACATAGCAGCACACACAGTTAACACTACACATAGCACACGCAGTTAAAACTACACATAGCAGCAAACACAGTTAATACTACACATAGCAGCACACAGTTAACACTACACATAGCAGCACACAGTTAACACTACACATAGCAGCACACAGTTAACACTACACATAGCAGCACACACAGTTAACACTACACATAGCAGCACACAGTTAACACTACACATAGCAGCACACACAGTTAACACTACACATAGCAGCACACACAGTTAACACTACACATAGCAAGCACACAGTTAACACTACACATAGCAGCACACAGTTAACACTACACATAGCAGCAGCACACAGTTAATACTACACATAGCAGCACACACACAGTTAATACTACACATAGCAGCACACACAGTTAATACTAGACATAGCAGCGCACAATTAATACTACACATAGCACAATTAATACTACACATAGCACAATTAATACTACACATAGCAGCACACAATTTACACTACACATAGCAGAACACAGTTAACACTACACATAGCAGCACACAGTTAACGCTATACATAGCAAGCACACAGTTAACTTGACACATAGCAGCACAAAGTTAATACTACAAATAGCAGCACACACAGTTTACACTACACATAGCACACAGTTAACACTACACACAGCAGCACACACAGTTAATGCTACACATAGCAGCACACAGTTAATACTACACATAGCAGCACATAGTTTACACTACACATAGCAGCACACAGTTAATACTACACATAGCAGCACACAGTTAATGCTATACATAGCAAGCACACAGTTAACTTGACACATAGCAGCACAAAGTTAATACTACAAATAGCAGCACACACAGTTTACACTACACATAGCACACAGTTAACACTACACACAGCAGCACACACAGTTAATGCTACACATAGCAGCACACAGTTAATACTACACATAGCAGCACATAGTTTACACTACACATAGCAGCACACAGTTAATACTACACATAGCAGCACACAGTTTACACTACACATAGCAGCACACAGTTAATACTACACATAGCAGCACATAGTTAACACTACACATAGCAGCACGCACAGTTAACGCTACACATAGCAGCACACACAGTTAACACTGCACATAGCAGCACACAGTTAATACTACACATAGCAGCACACAGTTAACACTACACTTAGCAGCACACACAATTAACACTACACATAGCAGCACACACAATTAATATTACACATAGCAGCACACACAGTTAATACTACACATAGCAGCACAAACAGTTAATACTATACATAGCAGCATACACAATTAACACTACACATAGCAGCACACACAGTTAATACTACACATAGCAGCACACAGATAACACTACACATAGCAGCACACACAGTTAATACTACACATAGCAGCACACACTTTACACTACACATAGCAGCACACAAACAGTTAACACTACACATAGCAGTGCACACACAGTTAACACTACACATAGCAGCACACAGTTAACGCTACACATAGCAGCACACAGTTAACGCTATACATAGCAAGCACACAGTTTACACTACACATAACAGCACAGTTTACACTACACACAGCAGCACACACAGTTAATGCTACACATAGCAGCACACAGTTACTACCACACATAGCACACAGTTTACACTACACATAGCAGCACACACAGTTAACACTACACATAGCAGCACACACAGTTAATACTACACATAGCAGCACACAGTTAACACTACACACAGCAGCACACACAGTTTACACTGCACATAGCAGCACACAGTTAATACTACACATAGTAGCACACACACAGTTAACACTACACTTAGCAGCACACACACAGTTAACACTACACTTAGCAGCACACACAGTTAATACTACACATAGCAGCACACACAGTTAATACTACACATAGCAGCACAAACAGTTAATACTATACATAGCAGCACACACAGTTAAAACTACACATAGCAGCAAACACAGTTAATACTACACATAGCAGCACACAGTTAACACTACACATAGCAGCACACAGTTAACACTACACATATCAGCACACACAGTTAACACT